TGGGGCGGAGGCCGTCCCCTTGGAGGGGGGTGACGACCCGTCCCTGAAAGTGAGGCGGGGGTGGCAGCGCAGCGCTGGAGCCGCTGTGGACAAGCGCGTGTTTGCGATGCTTTTCGCTGAGTTAGACTCTGCATCGCGAGCACTGCTGCTGTCCCAAAGCGGCGCGGGCGCCAGCTCTGCACTGACAGTCCTCCCTACCGGACCGGACTTCGTTGTACCCAGCGCGGCTCCCGCTCGCGCCCAAGCGATGCCAGTGTGGGCGCCACCTCGACAGCTTGGGAGACCACCGGTCTGCCTGCGCCCAAGTCGGGGTCCTGGCGCACAGAGCTGGGCCGCTGGAGCGCGCGGCGGGAAGCCGGTGCCCGGGTCGCCACAAGCGTCGCCTTGCGCGACCTGAACGTGGATGTCCCTGCCACTGACAGTCGGCGGATTGAGGTCGTCGCAAACGGCCTGCCGCTGTGGCGCGGGGCCCAAATCGCGGTTGACACGACGTTGGTCAGCCCCGTCCAGCGCGACGGGCGTGCGCGACCCGGGGCCGATGCGAGGCCAGCGCTGGCACTTCAACAAGCCAAGACGCACAAGCTCCGCACGTACCCCGAGCTCCAGCCAGGCGGGCACGGACGCTGTCGCTTGGTGGTCTTCGGTCTCGAGATCGGCGGGCGCTTCGACAGCCAAGCGTTGACACTGCTCCGACGACTCGCTCGGGCTCGCGCCAGGGACCGAGCGCCGTGGGCGCGGGCGGCCGCGCTCACGCGACGCTGGACGGCCCTGGCGGCGCTCGCGGCGCTGCGCGCGCACGCCCAAAGCCTGCTGGAGCTGCCGGTCCAGCCTTGCGACGCCAGTGACGGCGTCGAGCTGCCGCTCGGCGAGCTCCTTGCGGCGCCGCTGTAGTGCCGTAGTGGCGACCCAGCTGCGGACGGAAAAAGGCGTGTGGAAAAAAAAAAAAAAACAGAATGCACCAGCTCGTCGAGTTTTTGATTGCTTTCTTCTCCACTCTGCCTGGCCCCACTAGTTGGAGAAAAGCTCTGCTTGGACCGCAACTCACTCGGTGCGGGTATTCTGTTTCCGCACGGAAATTGTGGCATTCGTGCAAAGCATGCAAAAGTTGCGGGAGCAATTGCACAAACTCCGCAAATCAGCCAAGGTTCACGAGAAACACCTCGAGGCTTGCCTCGGTCTTCTGTACTGTGCCACCATTCTCAGCCCGCACATACAGCGATTTGCAGAGTTTCCTCCACCTCGCGGCTACGTGGGCTCGCCTGCACCGTTTGCAATTCCAGGTGGCGCACCTGGCAGGTGAGAAGAACACGTGGGCCGACGCATTCAGTCGAGGACGACTGCGTTTCACCCAGCAGCGCTCCGCTGAGCGTGTACGCATTACGCTGCCCAAACTTGCTTCCGCGTCGCATACAGTTTCACTCAAGAAGGTTAGGAGCGGCCTCCTGCGCTATAAATCGCCGCGGGCATAAGATTGAGCTTCCAAGTCTTCATGCACCGCGTCCTTTTTCGCGTCACTGAGTACAGAGCGCCTCGCTTCTGTTTGTTTTTGCGTTGCCATGCCAGGTCCTTTTTCTTCATCCCGCGCATATTTGAGCGTGATCAGGAATGTTTGGTATTAGGACGCCACCCGCTGCCGACGGGTTGTGAGAGGACTTAACGGGTCTTGCCGAGGTAGGGGGGCACCGGGGGCGGCACTCAAGCGGCTTTTTCCGCCGATGAGCACCCCCCTCCTCGCCCTTATTCCTCCCTTCATGGCGACAGTGCGTGGCGTACTCTTTTCCTTTTTCTCTTCCCAAAAGGCGGTGTCAGCTACCGCATGCTTGGTAAGTTCTTCGTCTTCCATGCCTCCATGCTCCCGTGCTCCTAGTCGCTCCGCTCTAGCTTGTTGCCATCTTCCGCACCTCCCGTAGGTCTCGCACCTCCCATCGGCCTTTCTTTCCATGCCTCGTGCTGCAATCCCAGGCCCCGCCTCTCGCTCCGAGATTGGGGTCTGGCTCGTGGCCTTCTTCCACCGCTCCCGTAGGTCTTTCGCCTTCCATGCCTCGTGCAGGGTTTTCCTGCTGCAATCCCGTCTCGTTCCGAGATTGGGGTTTGGCTTGTTGCCTTCTTCCACCCCTTCCATGCCTCGTGCAGGGTTTTCGTGCTGCAATCCCAGGCCCCCCGTTCCGCTACGAGATTGGGGGTCTGGCTTTCTTTCGCTTTCCATGCCTCGTGCAGGGTTGTCATGCTGCAATCCCAGACGCACGCGAGGCGCATCGAGGTCGTGTGCAACGGCGCACAAACTTGCCGTTGACGCGACGCTCTTCAGCCCGGTGACCCGAGATGGCCGCCCGCATGACGGCGTTGAACACCACCCGGGTTGGGCCGTCCGCTGTGCTGCGCGGCGCAAGCGCAGGCAGACGTGCCCCCGTATACTTCCGTACCCCGAGATCGACCGCGGCCGACGCTGTCGCCTTGTCGTTTTCGGACTCGAGGTCGGTGGACGGAGTGGACTCAGCTCCGTTGCGGCGCAGCGTGCGCTCGCTGCTACCTTCCTTCAGCTACCCCTCCAATCGGAGCTTGGTGCTGCTGGCCCGCTACCAGGTTTGCACGAGCTCCTTGCAGACGCTCGCTGGCAGGAGGATCCGGAGCTTGACTCCTGCCACGCGATTGCTCGCTTGCTTCATGACGCAGCATTTGCTCCTCACTCCCCCGCTGTTTGAGCTCCCTTGCCGGTGCGGTCCGCCTTCTCGCGACACTGGCTCCCAACCGCCTGGATTCGGCGACCTGCCCCCTCACCGTCCCAGTCGGGGCCTTTTGCTTCGAGGGTTTTCACCGGCCTGCCTTCCAGCCAGGAGCTCACTTTGGACTCGCTTGTTTTCTGTGCTTTGCTGCTCCGCCGGCTCCGCTGTCGCTCCCTTCGCCCCGTTGGCCCCCTCGGTGACCACCGCGCTGCTTGCCTCCGTTCCGGCATCCTGCGGTTCCGCGGCCTCCCGCTCGAGCGAGCTGCTGCCCGTGTTTGCCGCCGGGGCTACAGTTGCCAGCAATGTCTTCGTGCGGGACCTCAACATCCACCCTGAGCGCCGCGATGACCGCCGCATCGAAGTCATCGCAAATCGACCCCCGCTTTGGAGCGGAGCAGGCGGAGCACAGCTTGCTGTCGACACCACCCTTGTGTCGCCTCTCGATGCCAGTGGAGCTGCGCGCCGGCACCAGCGACAGTACCGTGGCGCCGCCCTGCGCCTTGCCCGCAGGACCAAGGAACGCACCTATACCCCGAGCTACTGCGGGTGCAGGCTCGTTGTCCTTGCGCTCGAGGTCGGAGGCCGCTGGAGCTCAGAGGCTGCCCAGTTTGTCCGCCTCCTCGCGCGCTGCCGGGCCCGCGCCGTCCCTCGCCCGCTGCGACCTGCAACCATCGCAGCCTTCTCCAGATGGTCTGCCCTGCTGGCCTGTTCTGCCGCCAGAGCCTTCGGTGCCAGTCTGCTTGGCTTTTCCCTTCAGGATATGCTAGGTTTGACGTATGTTTGAGGCATCCAAAAAGCGAGCGAACAGGCGCGGAACAGGATTTCTGCGAATAGTTCGCTTGAGCTGGTTGGTTGATGCCGTTCCTTTCAAGCTCACGGGAACCCGTGTCTAGTTAGGAAAGTGGAAAGGGTTTAATTCATGCAAAGCTCGCGACGGGCACACCGAAGGCGGGCTGGCTGTTGGGTTCAGAGATGACCGTGTAGTGAGAGCATAGTCTTCCGCATGTTCGACAGGTGCTGCGCCTCATGAGCTTGGCAGGCCAAGTTTGTAAAACGATAGGGTTGAGGGTTCTTTGACAATTAGTAACCTGAGCTGTCAAAGCACGGTCCCAGTGACCCTGCAAACACCGTGGTGCGGGCATATTTCGAAAACATTATATCTAGAGTCATCACTTGCTTTAAATTTGGAGGAGTCTGTGAAGAGTCGAGAATGCTGCCGAAAGCCTGACTTGTGAAGGAGCGGCTGACCCTTTTGATGATGGAGTCGATCCACGAAGCGATCGAGATCATGCAGAAGCAACACCGGAGGTCGGCATTGCGTATTGATGAATGTTGATGATAGGGACTTGGGCATTGCTCAACGTGCGAGGTGCCACCTGGGGTTATTGCGGGTGAGGCCACTGTTGCAGTTTCGACCTTGTGCTCATCATGCCTGGAAAAATTCTGCAGTCAGTCACACGTTTTCGTATTAATCTACACTGTATATCTAAATCACGTGTCATGCTAAGAGGCTCAAACAGCTGCTGTTGCCATGGCATCCCTTACTAGGGACAGCCTGGCAGCCCGGATGCTGCAGAGGGGAACTTTACCGGCATGGGAGCTGCTGGGCAAAGCCGCTTGGAAGGATAATGTTTCGTCTGCCGGCAAAAGCGGTCTGCAGATTCTTCAGAATCGTCGAGCTAGCAGCTAACAGCTAGGTCCAGCTGGGTCGAAAGCAGTTGTTCGGCAAGAGCAAGCAAGGTCGCGAAGGCTGCACCATCGCTCTGGTCTCCGTCCATGAGCTCTGTTCCAAGCAGTGCGAGGGCAGACCAAGTCATTCCCTCACGCAACAACAAAGATAACAAAGCTGCATGCTCGCCGTGTGCGCCACACAGCCGCAAATCCAGGTCGGCGGACTCAGAGCCAGCAGAGACTGCAGACAGAACAAGTGCGAGTTCCAGTTCTATCGCGGGATTTCGCCAGCATCTACGCGCAAGTCTCAGTGGCTTGAGTTCCGTGTTTCGTTCTCCCAGCAAGAGGAAGGTCGGAAAGCAGCGGCCATCGCATTTGCCCACGATTGCCACATCACCTGTCGTAGTTTCGCCTTCGACGGCAAAGGAGCTCCCGCCGCCGGTGTCCACGCCTGCAGAGTCTCAGCCGCCTGAAACGGTTTCTGTGCCAAAGAAGCAACTCAAGCAAGCGAAGAAGGAGGCGTTTGCGAATTCGCGGCCGATCAAGCCGCGCCACCGCAAGGTGGGCAAGCAGCGCCCGTCGTACTTGGCACCAGTGGGCGACATCATGAAACTCCCCCGGCCGTTAGGAGCCAATCCAGGGACTGCCAAGGACCCCGGTCCAGTGAGTCAGAGAGCGTCTGAGGAAGACCGTCGAGTGGCTCCAAGTCCAAGTCCGGCAGAGACGCAGCGCACGCAGACACAGGTCACGGCAGAATCCTGTGCACCAGGCGTGCCAGACGCGTCGGTCGAATTGCGGCCTGAAGCGTCCCATGCCGAAGCTAGACCAAATATAGTCAAGGCGAAAGACCAGCTCTGGGGCCAGCTGGCTGAAGAAGGCATGGTGAGATCGCCGTGTTTTGAAGGGCAGTCAGAGCCCTCACCAGCAGTATGCCGGACAGCAGCACCGAGCAGCCTTAGCCCGAAGAAGCCACGAACATCCAGTGGCAAGAAGAGGTCACTAGATCAGGTGGCTGAGGTTCCAAAACCTAAGCCTCCTGTGACTTCTCCGGAGATGCTTCAACCATCGAGAGGCCTCAGCTCCATCGCCGCGAAGCCGCGCATGACAAAGCACCACCGTCCCATCACAAAGCGGGTGAAGCTAGAGCAGCGCAAGGTGGAGGAGGACAATTACGAGATATCAGACCTGGAAGAAGACTTGCATGGCAATCGCGTTGAGCCGGATCGCTCAAGGAAGCGCGTGCCAGCATGGTGCACCAACTACGTCCAGACTGCAGAGATGCAAGCCGAAGTTGATCCCGACAGCATTTTTGGTTCTCATATGCCGATTTGCGATCTGGACACCTGCAGCGATTGTTTTGTTTATGTGATTTGTACCCCGTGGCTACATAAATACTTCCGTGGCCTTAAAAGTCGTTCGTTGTTCTCTCGCGAAGCACTTCATGGTTGATTTAAGCATGACTGTGGTGCTCGAAGGAAGTCATCTTCCCCGACAGCTTCTACAGAGGGGCCACTCCCATCAAGCGTCGGCGTGGTTCCTCCTGCAACTGGTACCGTGATGGGCTGACCCAGCGGGAAGTCAATGCCTATGCGCTCAAGATGGGCCAGAAGAGGCCAGCTGCTCTGAGGTTTGTGACAAGCCCTGGTAGCAAGATCATGCCATTTCATGCTTGGCGAAGCTTTCCTTTGCTCGGCTTCATTCTATCAAAACGCACAAACAGTTAACACTAGATGCAAGTGCAGCCGTCATGCACTGCGTACGTAGCATGCGACTGATCATCCCTTCTGGAATTTGATTCGGGGCATGAGTTCCAGCATAGGTCTCTTGACCTGCGTGCTGCTCTGCCTGCGCGTCTGTTGATGCCGTCGGGGTTGCACCGTGGTCCTGCTACGAGTGTCCACGTTTCAGATGTGGCTTGTGCTTGTGACGAGTCTGAGCAAGTCACAACACGGCCATGCAAATCAACTAGCCTCATTCCGTAAAAGCAGAAAAGCCCACATGTAGATATATGTATAGCAGAGAGTTGCTGTTTCTGTCGTTTGCAATGAAAGGAATGGAAAGAAGCAGCCTGTGGATTTGCTGCTTTCGCGTTCGTTGAAAGTTCCAGAGTGTCGAGGACTGGAATCATTTTTTCAACATTTCACTTATTATACATGCATACATACATATATACATACATACACGTATCTTATATATATATATATATATATATATATATATACATGTGTAAGATAGTACAATGCCATGTATACCCATTGTCTCTTGTGTTTCTCCATTATATCATAAGCTGTATCTTGTTCGTTTTTCTGCGACGGCCGGCTCCCGAGCCATTAGTTGAAATCGGGTTGGTCGGACCTCATATTCAAATCATTGAAGCGTTGGGTGACTGGCGGAGGAGAGAAAAACTTAGAGTTCCCGTTTTTAGGGGTTCATACATGTGTACATGAATACGTGCGATACACGTTTTTGTGTACTATGTAGCCAATGGTAGACCTTGCAAGGCCTGCTGGCAGAAACATCATGCCATCAAAGCTTCCATACCCAGACTCATCCTTTCCAAGCCGAACCGATGCTGCCTTTGTCTCAGGTCTTGGTCAACCGCGAAGTCTTCTTTCACTTTGGCAAGCTCCAGGACGCATGGTCCTAAATTGCCGACGTTCTAGGGCACTTCTGAAGTCAGGCCTTCCCGGATTCCCTTGCAGTGGGGTTGCTTGATTGGCAGTTCGGCATCTGGAGCTTGTGTCCTTGCGTGTATGCGGAATCTGTTCAGGATATCGAAGGCCGACATCCCCTTGCCACCAGTGCTTGCGAAAGTGAAGGTGGAAACAGCCCCGGCAAAGCCCCCAAGCTGTGATCAATGATAGATGTGCGAGGGGATAGAAGAGGATTTGCAGCCCCAAAGGCTCCGAATCTGTGCCAAGACTGCTTGTGAGAATGTAGAGATGGGAAGAGTCGCATAGGACATCAATCGAATAGACTCCTGGTAGTTCTGCACGATGCCGGAAAATCAGGACGTGAAGTGACAGTTAGATACATGCATAGGTAGCTGGCCCATGCAGACCGACAGACGGGCAGACGGGCGGACAGACATGCAGACAAGTAGATGAACAGACCGCCAGTTCGTCCGACTGCCAGAAATGCAGACAGACACATATACGGACACACGCGTACTTGAGCAGACATGCGGCTGCTTGAGAACGAAAGGGAAACACACACAGACAGAGACAGATATGGTGTTAGGCTGCTCCTTAGGTACATCTTCGTTCCCCTTGACCAAGTAGGAACAGAGCACGAAGCGGTTGTCGGAAGCCCTGAGCCATCAGACAAGAAATCATGGATATCGAGCTAATTTGGGGTTGACAAAAGAGGCTCCAGGTTTTCGGGGCTCAATGCTTGATTGTTTATCCGTGCAGGGTGGTGGCAGTTGCGCAAAGCCGAAAGTTTGCTTCAGATGTGTGTGCGAGGGACCATATCGCTGCATGCTTGACCTCGTAAACCGTTGAAGCTGAAACTGTCATACGATGTCACGGCAAGTAGGGCTAGGATAAGGATGGACTTACAGGGCTTCGAGACGCCGGAGCGCAGTTACAATTTGTGTAATTTGCAGCACCCCGGATTCGAAGGCTTTGCTCACCCAGCAAATTGCAGTTCTCAAGGCCTTCGGAAGGGGGCTACAAGCTCGCAAGTGCAAGATTGCACCCACCAGCTTTTCTAACGGCATCAAGAGACCGATATGTTACCTACAAGAATCTTCGCGGTGCATGTTGCCCAGATAGGCATGGCATCTGTCATGGCCTGTAGGTCCGGTCGTGATGGACCCATGTGTTGGCCCGTTGGGCCGCTAGTCCTTCAACGACCTGACACGAAGCGGAAACAGCCCTTGCGATCCGCAGGGCGGACTAGCATGCTAGGAACTTTCCATCACGCATCGCGCGAGCCAATGCCTCAGACAGCGTTTCGAAAAAAAAGCACAAGGACTGCCGTTGCCTGAACGCGGGGCCTCGCTTCTCTGTGGCTCCTCTGAGAGGCTGGAGCCGCCGAAACTGGCGCTCATCGGTGGCATTCAGGTCGTGGTCTGCCTCCTGGCGCTGAGCCTCCAGAGGAGACCCGAAGTGTTGGGATTAGAACCTGTTGGGTATAAATTCTCGGCTACTCTTGCTTGCTTTTGTCCCTACTAAGTCACCTGAATGTTTGCGTAGCTGCCAGCTTGCCTCGCATGAAGCCCACAACACCATTTACGACCGGCAGGAGCCTGCGCCTTTGCAGCCTCTTCAGCAGTGGCGTTGCTGCAGTAAGTTTGTAAGGAGTGAGGGTTTGCAAGCGCGATGGAATCAAGATGCAGCGTCAAAAATGCCACCGGGGTACCTTGCAGCCGCGGACAAAGAGATTTCACGGGTGCTGCGTTTGGCTGTCCTTTGGTTATATCTTCGGTTTCATTTTGAGGTCGTTCAGCTTCGGGGCCTTCCGTCATCTGGGTCAGGAGTTTACGGCTTGCATTTTTCCTCCGCGAGGCCAGAGCCAGCCAAGAAGGCCAGGGGCTGAAAGGGGCCTCGGATGTTGCGGGGGGTAGCGAGCTGTTTCACCTGCGAAGTTCTGAGAACCGAACTGCGATTATGCGGTGTTACGGGCTGGTTCGTAGAGGCCCGGCAGTGCTGCGGCGGCCGCTGTTCTCGCTGCCCTGGCGCTTCGCTGGTGTCCTGCTGCTTCTCATGGACGTTGTCGGATGTGCCTGCCTAAGTTCGAGGGGCGCAAGCAAGATGCGGAACGCCTTACCCCTTACAATGCCGAACTGTAGTGAAGCGGTGCTTTGCTCCAGATAGGGCAGGGAGCTTCGGAGACTGAGGTCAAGAATTTCTTGGTCCAGATTCCGCGAGTCTACTGCGAGACGTGTCTCGCTGGAATTCAGCTGCTGAGAGTGCTTTTAACAGCTACGCCACTTTCAGCATCAGCATGTTCAGGCGCTTGTAACCCTGTTCCCCGATTGCAGAATACAGCACGAGGTTGGCACGAAGACCGTGGGCGTTCTTGCTGTTGTGGGCAGCCGGGCTGCAAGCAGTTGGGTAAAAGAGTCTTAACAAGAGACCTCCGGTCCCGATCCCGGTCGAAAGCGAGGCCATAGCGGTGCTCATAGTGCTTCCAATGATGTGGAGGCATGCTACCCAGCTCGCAGCCAGCAAAGAATGACATATTACCGTGATGAGCTGACCCTGATCATGCTGGACACTCGTACCGAGGCCAATCGTTGTAAACGCTGATATTGATGCCTTCCGGCGTGCCGATGCACCAGCAGCGAGAGGGCATCTGGCGTTGCAACCTTACTTTCGAGCCATCATGTAGCGTGTGCCGAGCACGCAAGAAAATTTTTTGTATGTGTGCCCGGCGAAGGTATTTGGATTCTTTGAAGTTTATGCGAGCTGTGAAAAACGAGTCTGCCCGACCCTTGGTCATCGATAGCTGAAAGAGGTCAGAGCACAGCCAGACATCGGTATTTGGGAGATCAGCCCGAAAGTCACCAAACCTCCCTTCACGAAGCTCGAGGGGCCAACGAGCCCGCGTGCCTCTGACCCGAATCTCCTCAGCAAGAGTCGCAACCCTTAGCCGTATCTGTTTAGAAGTGTGTGAAACCGTACCAGTGCGTTGCGAAACTTAGTTTCTTTTGTTGAGCCAGTATTGCCAATACGATTACAGTGCTACCTGGACTCGCCGTGAAGCCTTGCCTGCCTCATACGAGTGTGAGAGTCGAAATCATGTCAGTGAGGCCCTTAGCCAGCGAACTATGCTGAAAGTGGAAATACTCTACGAGGCCAAGGATGGATCTGCCAGGAGCTCAGAAAAGGATTGAGTGCAGGGGTCAGAGTTTCACTGCTGCTTCAAGAGCGAGATGACAGCGGTGGACCAGGTTTTGTAATCCGGGGTAGGTGTTTGGCACGTGTCCACAGCATTGGCACCTCGGTTTCTGCCATTTGCATAGATCTTGTTGTAGGGGTGTTCAGGAGCTGCGACGAAAGCCACTGCCACGAGTCAGGGAAGAAGAGGTGGAAGACGCATCAAAAGCTCCCATGAGGTTTTCTCCGAGTCAGTTCTGCGAGACATCCGTGCATTTGAACAGTCACTCCGAAGTCTCGCAGGCAGGGAGTGGGCTCTGCCTTTAGAGCCAGATTGGGGTTTGCTGGACCAGACATCTTCTTTCCCGAATCGGCATCGAGTCCTGTTCGTGAGTTCGTAGTCAGGGAACGCCATTTTGCACTTGCTTTGCGACTTCTGCGACGGCGAACGCTACATAGTAATGCCATTCTGTGAATGTTGGCCCGGTATTCCTTGCAATTTTAGTAGGAGCTGCCGATGACCAGGTCTACTGTAGCCTGCTCAGAGGTTCTCTGCTCCGTTTGCCCCTTGCCAGGGTGGTCGGCTCTGTGCAACATGTCCGAGCCGGCTCTGCAGTTCCACTGCAACCCTGGGGACTCCATGGGCAACTACGTTTGGCCGAGGCAATGGGTTTAAGGTTCAGGGGAAGGAGCGCAAACTGCATGGACCGAGTGTGAGTTTTTGCATAGCCGGAGTTTCTTCTGGACTTTTGCTGGTGATGCCTGCAGGCGCCTAGATGATTTCCTCAATGCACAAGGCCTGGGTTGGGCGTTGCACGACTTCGCAGCGGTCTTACCTTAGGCACGGCAGTACATATCCCCAGGTCGAAGTCAGGGGTACATGTAGCCTGTAGCTGAAGTGCTGCCGGCACGTGTCTGCCGCGTGGTTCAAGTCAATGTTAAAACTTGCAGGGTTTCAAGTTGCCGAGACCGTTCAACAAGGTCAAGCCCTTGACCAAAAAAATCGACCGAATACAGTGATGATGCAAGAATTCAGGCACACCGATATAGCGCTCCCCGCCTTGTCCATGCCTCCCTCGCGCACCACCGCCCCTTGTCCACGCCAATTCTGCGCACCGTCCACGCACACGACATCCCCTCCGCCCAGTCCAACGCCGTCTGACCTCTCTACTGTTGCTTCGTCTGACCCTCGCCTCGGCAGTTCCTTTGTGCTCCCTGCCGCCCGACAAAACCATCCTCCGTGTCAACCCCGCTAGTCTAGTCCCCCGTCATTCCACCACAAACGTCCAAGTCCGTCTTCTAAGCCTCTTCTGTCCAGACAGGGTCCGATATCGGTCACCTCGCGCTAGAGCACTGGACGAGAACCCCACCCCAGGGAGGTTTCCGGCAAAAAAAGGTTACAGCTGGAGAAAAGATGTCTTTTTGCATTTGTCAACAACGTAATTTTCTAGATGCCCCTCCAGTTTTTCTGCATGAGCAGACTCCGCGCCCACTTTGGATACTTGTTTTGCTCTGTATGGTCGACGATCGACAAAGTCGTGGTGGAATCCTAGGGCGAGTGAAGTGCGAAAGAGCGCGCGGCAAGATACAGGACGAATGCCATATCGTATGTCGATGTCCAGACTTTTGATGAATGTCGGAGCTTCGCCAGTGATAGATTTTTCGGTCGGTTTGCAATCGGAAGCTTGGAGGCTTCTTCAGGCTCGCCTTCGATGGCAGTGCCCTGGAACGTCTCGCTCTCGGCACCCAGTGCAGCGTCACGGCTCACCTGGAGTGGCGCCAGAGCGAAAAGAGTCTTCGCGGAGCTGCAAGGCCTGCCAATGGACGCTGTCATCGCGTACCTGAGCACTACCCTCAGCTTCGTACTCAAACAGAGTTTAAGTATGTTTTTCTCTAATAGGTCATAGAGAAAACGTAGATGCGAGGTTAGATTTTGCAGATGATATGCATTATATATCGTATATTCCACATCATGTACTTTAGATTGGTCATCATGTGTTATCCTCAATATACGTGAAATATAGTGCATGATGTATTACTTTCTAGCTATCTATCTGTCCATGCATGTTTATGTATTTTATGTATGACGTATTACGTGTCGTAGGTTGGCTGGGGCATGTCATTTAATATGTTTTACTTTTTTACCCTATCTTTTGTACTTGTACTTTGTCTAATGAATTATGGATTAGAGGAGTGCGTGCTTTGTCAGTTTTTGAAGCGAGGCGAAGGCCTGGCCGCCCCGCACGACTTGAGAATGTTCTTGCCGATGACCTTCGCGGAGCCCTCCAGTGGCTCCAAGCCGTGGCCTCAGCGGTTTAGGGTTTCTTCTAAGGGTTACTAAAAGGGTTCCCTTATGATTATGGGTTATTGTAAATGTTGGCATAAGGGTTGCTTTCAGGACTGAGGGTTTAGTTAGGGTTCCATTGAAGCCTCCGACACTCAAAGAATCCCAAGAGATCCGCGATGTGCTTCTCTTGCCTGGTGGTCCCAGGACGTTGCGCTCTGTTTTCGGCTTCGCCGCCCCGGACCTGAATGACACTGCCTTCCGTGAAGCTTTCCAGGCCAGGCTGCCACGCATGCACTTGCTCGGTGCAGTGATCTCCCTACTCGATGCGACATTTCTGCCAGGACTTCGTGCAGAATGAGCTGTACTCCTCGCTGCTGCAGGCTGAAAGGGCAGACTTTGGAAGCCTCGTCGCTCGTCGGAAGATCTGCTTGTGATCATCGGCAGGCCGTGATCGACACACGGAAGCCGGTTCGAGACTTAGCAAGATCCGGAACTGGAAGATGAGCAAGCAGGAGCCACCTCATGCACTCCCAAAAACTCTGGTTCATGATCTAGAACTTGGCGGCGATGGCAGAGGGAAAAGGGGCCATTCGTTATAGGACTACACAGGCAAAGGTGCCCAACTGTTTAATTGAATAGTTGAATAGGCAAAGGCCTCACCTGCACCGCCCCGGACCTGCGCTGTAGTCGGCTGCAGGTGGATCCTTCTAGCTGGGATCAGTCGGGCTCTCAGGGGTGCCAGAGTTCCAAGGAAACTTTAGGGTTTTGGGGTTTCCTGTTCCGGCGATACGATGGGTTTGCAATTGGCACCCCGCCTGCGTGCTCTCTGGTAGTTTAGGTTGCAGTCGCCGCAGACTGCAGATGCACTGCCGAGGCCACCAGCAATTCGGATCTATTTCCGCGGGGATATGCTCGACGAGCACGAGCTGCTTGAAGCCCTCTACAGCCAGGGCCTCTGTTCGGTTGAATGTCGTGCTACAGTGGGGACGCGTGTTGATGGCTGAGGTGACATGTTGTTGGCGATTGGCCCGTGGTTGCCCCAGCCGTCGCCAACGAACGTGACAGTTCAGGTGTAGGTATAGCGGTTGCAGTAGTTTTTCCTGTAGCCCTTGGGATGTTGGACTGCCTCGTTTGGAGGCTTTTCATCAGCCTTGTAGTGGCCTGGGTGAAGCTTCGCAGCTGCCTCCCCAGCTGTTGCATTTGCTGCAGATGGGCCGGAATTAGGGTGTGGTGATTATGTGTAGCTGCAAGCAGGTACTGTCTACGTTATGGCACGTTAAATCCAAGGTGCTTTGTTGGCTTTGGTTGGTACTACGTTCTTGTGTTGGATCCTCAGATTACGGAAATTCCCAGCTTGCCTCTATGTGGCCAGACGTCTCGGCCAGTTGCACCGGTGACAGTGGCAGTTCCTGCGCATGTCTCGTGCCTGAGGGTAGCAGGGAGTTCGGCCGGCCTACATATGGAAGGTTGTCAAAAGTAGGGCGCTTTTTGGGTACCCTTAATATTAGGTGCCGTATTAAACTAGGGACCCAAAAAGGGACGATAATTTTGACAACCACCCATACATACATGGGCGAAGCTTTCGTGACAACCCCGTCGACACACTTCGCAAGTTCGTGTCGCCAGGCCTCGCGGCTTTGCTTGCCTACATCATCCTTCCAGTTCAGGAGGCAACTTGACAAGGAGCCAGCATGGTGAGTCTGAGATGTCAGCCTGCAGGTAAGTCCTGCCAGCTTGTTGGGCATCTTTCTGCTCTTCGGCCTGGGCTTCTCCAGCATCTTCCGTATGCAAGAGGTGTGGAGACGTTCTCGCCACGGCCTCGAGGTGTTGGGCCGGATTCGGAAAGCATGCAGAAAGTACATAGATCATTTCGACTGCATAGAATATGTGGAGTATTTCCTTTCTCTAAGTTTTTTGTTCCCGAAAGCATCGCGAAGGGTTCTTCCGTGTGGAACGCCGCAGTTGAGTGCATAGATGACAGACATAGAATCAACTTACTTGACTCCTTACTCTACACTCTACACTTGATACTTGACTCTACACTTGATACTTACTTACTTACTTGACCCCTATGACTGACTCTCTACACTTGACACTTGACTCTATGATACTTGACTCTACACTTGATATACGACTTACTTACTTACTTACTTCAATCTACTTGTTAACTTACTTGACACTTGACACTGGACTCTATGTTATGCTATCTCTATACTTACTTACTTACTTACTTGACTTGCTTACTTATACTTGCTATACTTACTATACTTACTACTTACTGACTTACTTACTGACTCTACTTACTTACTTATTACTTATGATTATACTTATGATTACTTACTTATGACTGACTCTCTATGCATCTATGACTTACTATGACTTACTATGACTTATGACTTACTCTCTACATACTCTCTACATCTCGGTATCTTAATATTTCTTTTAAAGGCGGGGGTGGCACCGTCGGGGTCCATCGGGAATGCAACCCTTCACAGGGATTCGCCTCCTCGGGCGTTCAAACGCGAGGTAAAGTTACACATTTTAGGCGCGCGGGTGAACCCTTCCCATGGATTCGCTGCCTCGGGCGTTCAAACGCTAGGTAAAGTGACACATTTTAGGCGGCCGGCGCAACCCTTCCCAGGGATTCGCTGCCTCGGGCGTTAAAACGCTAGGTAAAGTGACACATTTTAGGCGCACCGCGCAACCCTTCCCAGGGATTCGCTGCCTCGGGCGTTCAAACGCTAGGTAAAGTTACACATTTTAGGCGCCCGGCGCAACCCTTCACAGGGATTGGAACTCTCGGGCGTTCAAACGCGAGGTAAAGTTACACATTTTGCGGTTCCCGCGCAACCCTTCACAGGGATTCGCCTCCTCGGGTGTTCAAACGCGAGGTAAAGTTACACTTCTTGCGGGCGCCGCGCAACCCTTCACAGGGATTCGCCTCCTCGGGCGTTCAAACGCGAGGTAAAGTTACACTTCTTGCGGGCGCCGCGCAACCCTTCACAGGGTTTGGGTGCAGTTCAATTTTTTTTGCAACCCTTCACAGGGATTTGCATTTTGCAACCCTTCACAGGGATTGGCGTGGTCGGGTGTTCGAACGCGAGGTAAAGTTGCATTTTTTGATTTGCATTGAAATGAATTTTGCAACCCTTCACAAGGATTGGCGTGGTGGAGTGTTCGAACGCGAGGTAAAGTTGCAATTTTTGATGAGCATTGAGATGAATTTTGCAACCCTTCACAAGGATTGGCGTGGTGGAGTGTTCGAACGCGAGGTAAAGTTGCAATTTTTGATGAGCATTGAGATGAATTTTGCAACCCCTCACAGGGATTGGCGTGGTCGAGTGGTTGAACGCGAGGTAAAGTTGCAATTTTTGATGAGCATTGAGATGAATTTTGCAACCCTTCACAGGGATTGGCGTAGTGGAGTGTTCGAACGCGAGGTAAAGTTGCAATTTTTGATGAGCATTGAAATGAATTTTGCAACCCCTCACAGGGATTGGCGTGGTCGAGTGGTCGAACGCAAGGTAAAGTTACACATTTTGCGGTGCCCCGCGCAATCCTTCATTGAGAGGGATTAGCTTCCTCGAATGTTCTAATCGGAAGGTGTGCAGGTACTGTTGCATGGTCTTTGGGCGCTGCGTGTAACCCTCTGCATGGATTGGCGTGGTCCAGGGTTGAAACGTGTGTGCAAACTACTACTTGTATCCTTTCCGCCGTGCAACTCTCCACAGGGAGTGGCGTGGTCGATTGCAGGAACTTGCATCTCTGCGAGGTGCAATTGGCAACCCTTCAGAGGGATTGGCAGATGCATATATCGATAATATACGCACATATATATATATATATATATGTGGTCGATTGCAGGAACTTGCATCTCTGCGAGGTGCAATTGGCAACCCTTCAGAGGGATTGGCAGATGCATATATCGATAATATACGCACATATATATATATATATATATATATATGTGGTCGATTGCAGGAACTTGCATCTCTGCGAGGTGCAATTGGCAACCCTTCAGAGGGATTGGCAGATGCATATATCGATAATATACGCACATATATATATATATATATATATCTATCTTTGTATCTATCCATATATAGATAGATAGATAGATAGATAATAGATATATAGATAGATAGATAGATAGACATATATTCATGCGCCTGTACGGCGCGTACGCTGTCTTGCGACGGCGCAACGCGCCGCTGCCTGGCCGATGACCTGCAGGCTCGGAGCTTCTTCCTGCTTTGTAGAGGCTTTCTCCTTGCACACGTTTGACTCGCAGGCTGCCTGGTCGATGACCTGCAGGCTCGGAGCTTCTTCCTGCTTTGTAGAGGCTTTCTCCTTGCACACGTTTGACTCGCAGGCTGCCTGGTCGATGACCTGCAGGCTCGGAGCTTCCTCCTGCTTTGTAGAGGCTTTCTCCTTGCACACGTTCGACTCGCAGGCTGCCTGGCCGATGACTTCTGCAGGCTCGGAGTTTCTTGCTGCTCTGTAAAGGCTTTCTCCTTGCACGTTTGCCTGCCTCGTTTGGCTCGAAAGGCAGAAGAAAGGGAAGAAAGGGAAAACGCGTTGCAGTATTTTGCACACATTGCAGCATCTTACTACACCTAGTACGCTTCCTTGCCTGCCTTGACGCTGTCTTGCGAAAGGGCCGGTGTGGAGATTATTCTCAGCTTATTCTCATCTTCTCAGCTGACCATACTTAGGACAGTTGTTTGCCCGCCTCGACGCTGTCTTGCGAAAGGGTCGGTGCAGACACTTTTGCATTTGAACATACTTGGGACAGTGTTTTGCTTGCCTCGACGCTGTCTTGCGAAAGGGCCGGCGTGGACGCCTTCTTCCATCCCATGGATTCGCGGTTGCAGAAGTTCCGCGCCGATTATGCCCAGCAGGGCGAAGACTGGCTCCGCACCGAGCTGGACAAGCAAAACCGGCAGGACCTGCGTGGGCTCTGTGTCGCTGCGGGTGTGCAACAGAAGTCTGCCGGGCACACGCTTACCAGAGCGGAGCTGTTGGAAGCTCTATCAAAGAGCATTGCCGGGGAGCAGGCTTCATGGGGAAGCGGCGTTCTTGAGGATTGTCCATGTCAGCTTCGGTTGCAGTGAACCGTCAGCGTCGTCGTCGGGTGGGATGTTTAGTGCTCTGCAGTGAAGCAGTTCTTGGTGTCAGGCCGATGAAGCGGCCTCGCAGCGAAAGCTGCAGGAGCTGCGCACGGGTTATGCCGAGCAGGGCGAAGCCTGGCTCCGCACCGAGCTGGAGAAGCAGAGTCGGGATGAGCTGGCTAAGCTCTGCGTCGCTTCGGAGGTGCGACAGAAGTCAGCCGGGCGCAAGCTCTCCAGAGCGGAGCTGTTGGAAGCTCTATCACAGAGCATTGCCGGGGAGCAGGCTTCATGGGGAAGCGGCGTTTTGAGGATTGTCCATGTCAGCTTCGGTTGCAGTGAGCTGTCAGCGTCGTCGTCGGGTGGGATGTTTAGTGCTCTGCAGTGAAGCAGTTCTTGGTGTCAGGCCGATGAAGCGGCGTCGCAGCAAAGGCTGCTCGAGCTGCGCACGGGTTATGCCGAGCAGGGCGAAGCCTGGCTCCGCGGCGAGTTGGGGAAGCACGGCAAGGATGAGCTGGTTGGGCTCTGTGTCGCTGCGGGTTTGCAACGACACCGTGCCGGGTGCACGCTTACCAAGCCGGAGTTGTCGAAAGCTCTATCACAGAGCATTGCCGGGGAGCAGGCTTCATGGGGAAGCGGCGTTTTTTAGGATTGTCCATGTCAGCTTCGGTTGCAGTGAGCTGTCAGCGTCGTCGTCGGGTGGGATGTTTAGTGCTCTGCAGTGAAGCAGTTCTTGGTGTCAGGCCGATGAAGCGGCGTCGCAGCAAAGGCTGCTCGGAGCTGCGCACGGGTTATGCCGAGCAGGGCGAAGCCTGGCTCCGCGGCGAGTTGGGGAAGCAGAGTCGGGCGGAGCTGGTTGGGCTCTGTGTCGCTGCGGGTTTGCAACGACACCGTGCCGGGTGCACGCTTACCAAGCCGGAGTTGTCGAAAGCTCTATCACAGAGCATTGCCGGGGAGCAGGCTTCATGGGGAAGCGGCGTTTTTTAGGATTGTCCATGTCAGCTTCGGTTGCAGTGAGCTGTCAGCGTCGTCGTCGGGTGGGATGTTTAGTGCTCTGCAGTGAAGCAGTTCTTGGTGTCAGGCCGATGAAGCGGCGTCGCAGCAAAGGCTGCAGGAGCTGCGCACGGGTTATGCCGAGCAGGGCGAAGCCTGGCTCCGCACCGAGCTGGACAAGCAAAACCGGCAGGACTTGCGTGGGCTCTGTGTCGCTGCGAGTGTGCGACGACACCGCGCCGGGCACACGCTTTCCAAAGCGGATCTGTTGGAAGCTTTGTCGCTGGGCATCATCCAGGAGGAGGTATGACGGGGGGAAGGGGGGCGTGTGCGTGCATGTGTGTGTGTGTGTGTGTGTCTGTTTGTTTCAGTGCTTACAGGTGAATATCGAGGACCTCTTCACGGCAGATGGCTTGCGGCGCTTGGCAGGAGAGCTCGGGGAAAAGGCACCACCTCGAATTCGGGCGCGGCTTCGTGTCTTGCCCTTGCGGGCCGATGGACCCTGTATGCAGCGAGTGGCCGAAGATCTGGGTGTGGCGTTTGAGGACGTGAGCAAGCAGGTCTTGATTCAGCGGATTGTCATGGCGTTGTGCCCCCTGCGCGTTCCGAGTGCAGACGGTGACATCAAGTACCTAATGTGGAGATCCCTCTACGCGGTTCGCAGAGCCGGAGCACAGGATGCTGAAGCGGTGGTTGCAGCTGCTTGCGACATCTTCGAGGATGCCAACGTGCGCCAATCCGCGGCTGCGTACTCGTTGGACATTACGGTAGAATCATTTTCCGCGAGACATCTGTCTTCCGATTCGGAGAGAGATCTACTTGCGCAAAAGATTCTGGACAGTCTGCAGCATTGGTCACAGGTCGACACGGCGC